CTTCTAAACATACTTTTCCTACCTTACAGTTATTCTATTAACTAATTTCTTGAACTCAAATTAAACTGCGTTAGTCGTGTTCGGGCTAGTTCTTTGCCTTCTTTTCCCTTCAGTTATTATTAATTTCGTTCATTCTTCCTTGCTTCTATTTAATAAATCTGTCTGAGTGCCGGGAAGCGGTTCTTCAGTACTTATTACTATACTTTGAGATTCGGGCAGATGTTGTGGTTTTGTGTTTATTTGTTGTCTTCTGCAGTGGCATATCCAGAAAGTCTACTTGGGGGGAGGGCACAGTAATTTTTCATTTAAATGACATTTGGAATAAAATTTGTTTCATATGTATAATATAACAATGTTTATTGTGAAATAATTAATAACAAATAAAATAAATCCTTTTTTTTAATAACAACATAATGTAAAGAAATGCAACCTTTTTGTTATCATATCAAACGCATAATAGTGAGTTTACACATGCATGGATTTAGTGGCGCCAATAAAAACTGGCGCGCCAGTAAAATTAAATTGCATGTGTAAACATCAACTGGCATGCAAGTTGAAACCATGCATGCATGGACCGGAAAAGTCTGCACCCTTCTGAAATTACTGGCGCCAGTAATGAGTCTAAAACATGTAACCATGGCAACATAGGTGAGTGTCCACAAAAATACAAAATTTTTTAATGTCAAATTTAGGTTATGTTTCATTGCATTCAAATTAAATCCCAATTACGTTAACACATTCAACGATAACGTATAATTATCCACCTTAAACCTAGAATATATCCATTTTCGTTTCGGTTGAGGTCCTAATTTGTGTATATAGTTGTAGTACACTTTAAAAACGCCGTGGCACATGTAATGTAAACCTTTACTGGCGTGCAAGTAGAACTGGCGCAACTACTGGCGCCACTAAATCCATGCATGTCTAAACTCACCTTAAGTACCTATATTTAAGTACATCTACAAAACAAAATCTAGTTTTCTTATTATCTTTTGAAGTTCATCCAACACTTCTTCGGGCGTAATTGTTATTGAAGGATAAATATACAATAGCGTAATTCCATTTAATCTATCCTCATTTATAGTGTTTCTTAAATATGTTTTCAACAATTTTAGAGTTGAAAATGTTCTCTCTGGAGCAGCTGTGCTACTGGCAAGGTGCACAACATTTTCAACAACGTATAAATATGAGGAAAGATAATCGCAAATTGAAGTTTAAATTCACCGTTTTGAGACGTTATCTACGAACTGGTCAACTATATAAAATATATAGTTGACAAATATTTATAAAATTCTACTAACTTCAAATTTTAATTGTTGTTCTTCCAAATTTTCAATTTTTTCTAGTGATTGAACTAAACATCCAAAGGCTACTAAGATGTAAGATGTAATAAATCTCTCATCTAATTGCATTATTACATTGTGTAAGAATGGAATGACAACTGATATTTTGTAATATTCTTCTGCAGTTTCTGTTTCAAAATTCGCTCTATTTCTTTATCTTGGTCTTTTCAATTGTTCTCCAAATATATTCCACATCAACTGGTATCCTTCTAGAAATGTATTGATAAAAGATGTGTCAACACTGTTTCGCAGATTGTTTAGTTCTTCTATGCAATTTTCTGCAAGGAAAACTGGTTGAAACCAGTCGGTATTTATCATTTGAAATAATTTTGACATATAGTGTGCATACAAAAACGACTTCCATAACTAAAAGAGACAACATAAATTCGGAAGAACTTACAGAATTTTTTAACGTTGTTGCCCCAGATGATGATTCCCGATCTTTCCAAGTTTTCCAAGTATTTCAGTACAACAATGGAGTCTTGTCGTTGAATGCATCGTGTGGGACATAGTTGTTTCAATTTATCTCGTCTTGATGTGGGACTTAGGTGTATTAAAAAAAATTGTATACATTTTCTCTTTCTTTACAGTTTCTAATAGGCTGTACAGTACTGGCGTCTGAAATAGCCAAATTCAAAGAATGGAAAGCACAGTGAAAATACAAGATTGTCGGATATAGTTGTTTTAATGTAGCTTGTATCTGTAGTCTCAGCGGCCAGTACTGAAAAATATGTAGCTTCTTTTACATCTAAAATAATTTTTCTTAATATTAAATTGTTACAAACAGTAATGTTTGTGTTATGACCAAGAAATAAGTAATCAACTGAATCTAAGTAAAATTACCCGAAGGTATTGCAAAACAATTATTTAGAGAGCCACAAATAATCCCACATAAAAAATACGAATAATAATGGGTTGTGTTGATTCGTACCAAAGGCTTTTACAAGCAGGCTTATTTCTGAAAAGCAGCCGCTTTCCGTCGCCACTCTCGATAACATGCAATAATGTAACGCTTATTAACCATGCTACTATAGAAGTCACAAATCAAACAATAAAGTTTAGTTTTGCAAAAAAAGATATTAGCTTGATTAAGTTAAAGTTGAAAGAATGTTTGTCTATTAAGTTTGACACACGATATCTAAAAAAATAAATAGTACAAAGATGACCTGTTTAGTCAAGATTTCAAAATGGTACACTTGCCATTTTTCTTTTCCTAAAAAATATTATTGCCTGTTTGGCGCTTTGGTGTATTAAAAAAACTGTATACATTTTCTATTATACCCATACAGTTTCTAATAGGCTGTACAGTACTGGTGTCTGAAATAGCCAGATTCAAAGAATGGAAAGCACAGTGAACATACAAGATTGTCGGATATAGTTGTTTTAATTAATGTAGCTTGTATCTGTAGTCTCATCGGCCAATACTGAAAAATATGTAGCTTCTTTTACATCTAAAATAATTTTTCTTAATATTAAATTGTTACAAACAGTAGCTTCAGTTTATTGTTTGTTTCACATTCATGATTCAATTTAATACATTGTATTATTTAGTTAATAGTATTTTGTCTGGGGGGGGGGCAATTGCCCCTGTTATCAGCATAGCATTGTTTGAATACCTGTTCGACGTGGTTTTCCGCTATTCACTGGGGCTTAAACGGTTAATATATATGACATTTCTTCATTTTTATAAAAGAGTTCAGCCGATTATGGAATGCTTTGGTATTTTGTATTATGAGTTGGGTGAAAAAGGCGGATTATTGCGGAATTGGATTATTACAGATTGTTTTATACTTTTTAAACTAAAACTAGAACTAACTCTAGGTCTAGTGTTAGTTCTTGTGATAGTGCTAGTGTTAGTTCTAGCTTTAGTTTAATTAATATCGGCCGTGAAAGCCTTCGTACTTATGTTTTATACTTCATTTTCATAAATAAAGTATAGGAGATGTTGTATATAAAAGCAAACTTTATGGGTGGGTCAGGTGAAAACGGCGATATTTCAGTATTCTTCTTTTTAAGGAAAAATAATACGAATATTACCGAATGTTATATTGTATTATATATATTATATTGTAAGTTATGTTAATGAAATTTTTAAAAAATCAACCCAACTATGTATATGTTAAGAAGTGGGGAAAAGAATTTAATATTTTAAATGAAAATCAAAAAAATATTATTATTATAAGAAAACCAGTTTATTTAAGAATTAATTTTTTTGTCTTTTTGTTAACTCATTCATTATCGATGTCGTTCGCAACATTTCCCCCACAATACCTTTAAAAAAATTCTTCCAACAAACCTCCAACTCGATGCACTTAGCAAAGTTCGCTGCCACGTTCGCTACCGTCACTCTTCCCATCTTTATCGCTTTCACCGTTTAAATTAGCAAGTAAAAAAGAGCGCGAAAGATAGTGAGTGTGTTGAGAACGTTCTCTCCTTCTCAAAAACTCAGACCTCGTCTGAAGGCTAAAGTTGCCCAGACTTACACAATATAGGTAGTCTCGAAACGAACACGTTGGCCGCTTTGTTTCTCCTAAACGAAACAGCTTTCTCTAAGTTTTCAACTGATCAACGTTGTTTTCTGACTGAAAGTTTATCATAAAAGGTTTGATTTTGATTTAAAATGGTGCGAAGGAATAATAGGTATCAAGAGAAGGAACTTCCACCTTCTAAAGGACCTGGTGAGAGAAATTTTTTTAACACTTTCTTTCTTCGTGTTTTTAACTCTTTCTTGGTGTTGAAAGCATATGGTTAAAAGAATGTATTCCTTTTACTATGATAATATGGGAACATTTTTCATTTCTAATAATAATATAGGAGTTATGAAATATTATTGAATGTAATTTTACGTTTAAATTTTTAAGATTTTTTTAACATATGATAAAACCCCACCGCAAATTGATAACGTTAGTTTTACATTTACATGTTGAGTTTAAATTGCTTGTATAAGGAAAATTTTTCTTTGATAAATAAATTTAATTACTCTGCTGATGTTGTTGAAAATCGATATTTATATTTATTAATAATTTATTTATGTTAACGTGGCAGATTAAAATAGAAATGTCTAATTTAATTTATGCAAAATAAAACAGAACCTGTTCTGATTATCTAATGAATTTTTCAAAAATTACATTCTTATTTATTAATTTTGTTAAATATTTAATTAATTAAAAATTTAAAAAATTGCTTGCTGCTCTAATTGGCATTAAATGTATTATGAGTATTAAGGAGAAGAATCGATTGTGTTTCCAAGGTATAACGAATACCCTCGACATGCAAAGTGAATAAATTAAATGGTGCGTGTGCAGCAGTGTGCAGATAAGGTCGCTAACCTGTTGTTAAAGAAGAAAAAAATGACCTGCATTTGAAAGAAATAGAATATTCAATTTTCTTGAACTCAACTCACTTTAAAATTTTAGGAATTCTAACTTGTTTAAATTTTCTCTTATTTTCTAATGCGAACGTTGCCAAAGTTTTTGTAAAAAAAAACTTGGCTCTACTTTGCTTTTAAAAGTTGTAAGTTGAAACATTTTATTTGTTAATTTGTTTACTTTTCACTTCATTTTTGAAACTAATTTTAATACATTTGAATTTTTTTTTGTACCTGATGATGATATATTAAATTGAAACTTGATTTTAATTATTTCTATTTTGTTGCAGTGGCCGATTTAGTTTACTGGAGAGACCCCAAAAAATCCGGTCCAGTTTTTGGAGGAGTTCTCGTCGTACTTTTGGCGCTCACCTATTTCTCGTTAATCAGCGTAATAGCTTATCTATCCCTGTTAGGTTTAACGGGAACGATCTCGTTTAGAGTCTATAAGAATATCATTCAAGCGGTACAAAAAACCGGAGATGGACATCCATTTAAGTAAGTTATACTGAAATTAATACAAGTACGAAGGCTTTTATGGCCAGTAGGTATTAACACAATTACTCGCGCGTCTTTTCAAAAAGAGTTTAACGTTTCAGATACCATGTTACAACCTTCATCAGAAACAAGTTCGAAATGAACAGTTGTTAACAAAAAAGTTTAAATTTTTTTGAATTTTTATATATTTTTTTTTTTAACTAAAACTAGTACTAACACTAGACGGAGAACTAGAAACATTCGGGTTTAGCCACACGTCTCTCAAGACGGCTAAACCCGAATGATTCTAGTGGTCGGTCTAGTGTTACTTCTACGTAGTAACAGTGCTAGTGTAAAATATCATTAAAAAATTACACTAGTTAAATTCGAGATGTTGCCGGCCACCTAGAAACATTCAGGATTAGCCGCAGGTCTCTCAGTATGGCTAAACTCGAATGATTCTAGTTCTAGGTCTGGTGTTAGTTCTAGTGATAGTGCTTGTGTAAAACTAGAACTAACACTAGACCTACAACTAGAAAATATCGTGTTTAGCCCGAAAAAACCCGAAACTTAATTCTAGATCTAGTGTTAGTTCTAGTTCAATAAACAACATAGTAATATCTTGTGCTAACTAGCGCTAACTACGACTGCCACTAAAACTAACACTAGACCGAGAACTAGAAACATTCGGATTTAGCCGCACGCCTCTCAACACGGCTAAACCGGAATGATTCTAGTTTTAGGTCTTGTGTTAGTTCTAGTGATAGTGCTAGTATAAAGCTAGAACTAACACTAGACCGAGAACTATAAACGTTCGGGTTTAGCCGCACGCCTCTCAAGACGACTAAACCCGAATGATTCTAGTTCTAGGTCTTGTGTTAGTTCTAGTGCTAGTGTAAAACTAGAACTAACACAAGACTTGAGAGACGTACGGCTAAACCCGAATGTTTCTAGTTCTAGTGTTAGTTCTAATGATAGTGCAAGTATTAATTCTAGGTACAAAAAAATTGATACATTGCTGTTGTACTAAAACTAACAGTAGTTCTAGGTCTATAGTTATTTCTAGTTTTAGTTCGACTGAAATTAATCTCATGATTATAACGAAAAACAATCTTTATTATACAGAGAATTTTTGGATACTGATCTTTCGTTGCCGCAAGAAAAAGTTGAAGAAATCTCGAAAGTAGCGGTGGCTCATTTTAATGCAGCTATGGTGGAGTTGAGGAGGCTCTTTTTAGTGGAAGATTTGGTGGATTCGATTAAATTTGGTGTGCTCCTTTGGTGTTTAACGTATCTTGGTCATTGGTTTAATGGAATGACCCTAATTATTATTGGTAAGTTTATTATTTTTCCCTAAACATGTATCTCTATTAATGTTTTTTTTATCTTTAGCATGGGTAGCTTTGTTTACACTTCCGAAAGTTTACGAAACCAATAAGGCTCAAATCGATGCCAATATTGATATCGTTAGAAATAAACTGGAGGACATTACGTCGAAGTAAGTTGATAATTAAGTTTGTGATAATTTACATTTTAAGGATTTTAACTTTAATTAAGGATTTTGAAAGGAATACCTTTTATGTGTTAATTAGAAATTATATACTACTAGTAACTTCTTTTTTAAAAGAAAAATTCTTTTTGTATTAGTTGTTTACTGCAACTAATTTGTTTGAGTGATCAGCAAAGCTCGGATATTTCGGTACCGTCTCAGTAGCGTCGCCAGCGCAGAACCTACCGTTCCGATCGCTCACACATCTATAAGCATGCCAGGCCTGCATTCATCCGGATGTGTTCAGAGAATTCAGTACCAATTCATTTAATATCCTTTTTATTTATCGTTAAATTCATCATTTTCTGAATTAGAATTGTACTATTGTTTCAGTTTTTATAATTTCAAACGGAGTGTATTGAATATTTTATTTAATTATCATCGAATATTTTCTTGATTTGTTTTAATTAAAAGTGCCTTGTTGTTTTAGGCTTTATAATTTAAAACTACTTCTATTAAGAGTTAATATTTTGATTTTTATTAACTGAATTACCCTGTTGTTTTAGTTTTTATAATTTATTCCAATGGCACACTTAATAGCGATTTTTGGCGATACGTTCATATTAATTGACAACAATGTAGCATTTTGCAACCAAGAAATATCTTCTAAATATGGCCTGTTAGTTCTAGCAGTTACATTTGTGCCAGTTACCACTTGTGACGTCGAGTTAGGTCGTCATTTTCTGAAGTAAATTTAGAAAAAGTCATTATTATTCAATCATTTCACCAAATAGGAACTGAGAGTCGAGAAAAATTATAATAAAGTGCATAATTACTTGCTTATTTAGCGTTAATACAGACCCTTGCTAACGCGCGCCTATGGATTACCATGACAGCGCTGCAGACCAGTGAACTCGGGACCTTGGCTATGCGTCGCTCGTCAATATCCCAACATTCGTGAACTGGTCGACTGGACTTAGGTACCGAAGAATCCGAGCTCTAGTGATCAGAAACCTCAGTTTCGGAATCGGATAATGATGGTGACTTTCAACTCGCCAATAAAAAGTGCAGTCGACCACTACGATGCCTCAGTCACTAACCGGTTCCTTGAACACCGTCGCAAACATCAACTACAAATAAAAACTTACAATTTCCCGATGAGTAGACTTAACTTTTCCAATATTTAGACCAATAACTCGTTCAATACTCGAGATGTAATTATTAAAACGGAACACGGTTTTATAATTAAATCAGATAACATTAAAGCTCAATACCTTGCGAATCAATATAATTTAAAACTCACTGAATTTTCGGAAACAAAAAATCTCACCCTTTCGTTCCGAAAAATCCCTTCAGCTTCATACTTTGCTGTTATCCCATCAGTGGACTTGAAATTGGTGACCAAGAAATAAGTTATCAACTGATTCTAAGTAAAATTACCCAAAAGTATTGGAAAAGAATTATTTAGAGAGCCATAAATAATCCCACATAAAAAATAGGAATTATAATGGGTTATGTTGATTCGTAACAAAGGCTTTTGCAAGCAGGCTTATTTCTAAAAAGCAGCCGCTTTCCGCCGCCACTCTCGATTACATGCAATAAAGTGACCCTTATTAATTTATTAACCATGCTACTATAGAAGTCACAAATCAAACAACAAAGGTCGTTAGTTTTGCAAAAAAAAAGCTATTAGCTTAATTGAGTTAAGGTTGAAAGAATTTTTGTCTATTAAGTTTGACACACGATATCTAAAAAAATAAATAGTACAAAGATGACCTGTTTAGTCAAGACTTCAAAATGGTACACTTGCCATTTTCTTTTCCTAAAAAATATTATTGCCTATTAAAATGCATACTTTCGTATGTTATTTGTATTTCCTCCAAAATAATTTAACAACTTTATTAGATGATGTGCCACTCAATATCTACAGAGAAATGTGGTTTCAACAAGATGGTTGCCCAGCTCATTATGCTTGTCCTGTACGAGATAATAATAAATAACGTGTTTTTTTGTAAAAAAACAAGCAATAATATTTTTTATGAAAAGAAAAATTGCAAGTGTTGTACTATTTCGGAAACTTGATTAAACAGGCCATTTTTAAAAATAACTTGCCATGGGTGTTGTTCTACTGCTTTTTTTAGAAATTGTGTGTCAAACTTATGTCTATTAAGCAACTATTAAGTTTGACACACAATTTCAACCTTAGCTCAATCAAAGTATTTTTTTTTTTTGCAAAAATAACGACTTTTGTTGTTTGATTTGTGACTTCTATAGTAGCATGGTTCATAAAGAATACATTATTAAAAAAATCACTATTAAATAAAAATTTGTCTATACAGAACAGTTATGGGTTGGCCTCTCACCCGGTGCCCGCTTGACGTTGAGTTTCGGGACACTCTGTATACATAATGTCCTGAAACTCAACGTCAAGCGGGCGCCGGGTGAGAGGCCAACCCATACCTGTTCTGGTAAAAATGAGAAAAAGATTCCATGTTTCTTAGTTAAGTGGTAATAGACCAAGGTTTATATATAAGAGGTTGTCTAGATTCGTACGTAATCATACTGCGCATTACGTCACATGTGGAAAATAATACCGCCAAGCAATTCAAATTAAACAAATGCACGGAATACCACATGGCCATGAGGTTGCGTGCGCAATCCGTGATCGCTTACGTCACGAAACACTCCTGCTCTTGCCCCTCGCCCACAAACTAAATCAAAGTATTGCAGCATAGGTACTTTACTTTCCGGAACAGTCATAACTTTAATAAAATCTGTCTTTCATCAATTGCCGTATTTGAGTATCATCAAATATTCCACCTTTCAACTTTTCCATAGTAAGCTTCGAAAATTTTCTACAAATGTAATTAAAACAATCTCCTTCCTTGTTCAACACTTTTACATATTGCTTTATCATTCCTAACTTAATATGTAATGGTGGAAGTATGATTTTGTCTCTGCTCACCAACGGCTCCCTTATTACATTGGCTTTACCGACAGTTAAAGCATTTTTTACAGTCCAAACATCTTGTTCCCAATGAAGTTGCTTTGCTCTACTGTCCCACATACAAATGAAGCAAGGTTATTTCGTGTATCCACTTTGTTGACCAAGTAAAAAATTAACCATTTTCAAATCCACACATCTTCTTTGAATTTTGTTGATTGGTCAATTGGAATTGATGTAAATTTATTTCCATTGTGCAGTAAGACGCATTTTAAACTTCTTTTACAACTGTCAATAAAAAGGCGCCACGCAGTAGATTTGTATTCTTTTAAACCCATGTCTAGAAGCAGCTTCGCGATATCATTACAGTACACCAGTCGTTCATTTTCACTAAAAAATTGTAATAACTCACTTTCTCGCGTTCTGTATGTTGTAATTGTTACTGTTGGAGCCAATAAATTTTTTTCTTTCAATCTTGAGGCTAAACAGTTCTGATCCTTGTTTTGATAAATTGAGATCACGTTATACGTGATCACTGAGTTCATTTTGAGAAAATAACTTCGGCGTAGATGTTTCACTTTCACTGGTAGACTGTCCCGATTTCTGTGAATTCGGCAACATCATTGCTTCTGAGGGCATGCAAATTACTTTTGAAACGTAAATAGGCCGAGGGAGATTTTCACTGTGTAGAACAGGACATTTTGTAGACTGTAAGTCTGGATATCTCCACGTTTGATTTCGATTAAAACCTTTAGCATCTACTACGCAAAAGTAAGAATCATCGAAATGATTCTTAGGCTCCATCCAGATCATAGAAATACCAAAGTCTAATCCAGAACGTTCTCCTTTTTTTCCACAACCGTAAAGACGCAACACAGGACTTACAAACTTTATGAGAACCCATAATTTATCTAGTTTGTCCATTTGAAAACCGAAATATTCAACATATGTCTCCTCGACAAAGTCTGTGATATTCCTTTTTTGTTTTTTTGTTATGCAGGGTGAGTCGAGAGGAACGGACCAAACTTTAGGAGTGTATTGTACGCTTGAAAATAATGTAAAAAAAAACTCATATGTTGTTATCCGATTTTCATTTGTTTTCAATTGGTTGCATAACTACAGTTAAACATTTAACGTAGATTTGACAGTTTGATTTGCATTAAGTGCTATAAAATGCCAAGTACTTATTCATATTTAGAATATACAGACATGTTATTTGTATATGGTTTTTGTAACGGGAGTGCTACAGCTGCTGCAGATGAATATCGTCAACGGTTTCTAAATCGCAGACATCCTAATAAAAACGTTTTTATTAGGGTTTTCAATAAACTGCGCGAAACCGGTACACTTCCCAGCGTTAAAGTAACATCGGAACGAGCTACGCGTCAATGTTTAAATGAAGTAGAACATATTTTGGATCTAGTAGAAAAAGATGCAACGACCAGCTCACGCAGAATTGCTGTTCAATTAGGCATCCCACAAAAGAGAGTAATAAACACACTCCACGAGCAATGCTTATATCCATACCATTTAGCTAAGTTACAACATCTACTGCCGGAAGATTATGTTAAACGAGTCGAATTTTGTCGGTGGATAAATAATGATCATCGTGTTATATCGCATATTCTTTTCACGGATGAAGCAACATTTACCCGCGACGACCTACATAATACTCGTAATAGTCACGTATGGTCCGATGAAAATCCCCATGCAACAATCGAAAACAACTTTCTACACAAGTTTTCGGTAAATGTGTGGTGTGGTATGATCAACGGTTATTTAATTGGCCCTTTCATTTTGGAGAATCGCCTCACAGGAAACCATTACCTAGAGTTTGTACAAAAGGAATTAAATGATTTACTGCAGGATGTTCCTCTAAACATTAGAAGGCAAATGTACTTTCAACACGATGGAGCTCCGGCGCATTTCGCTCGCGAGGTCAAGCAACATTTGGCCGAAAGGTTTCCAGGGCGTTGGATTGGTCGTGGTGGTCCTATTAGTTGGCCTCCAAGATCTCCAGATCTCACAGCACTTGATTATTGTTTGTGGTGATGGTTCAAAAGTGAGGTATACAAAGTCAAAGTTGACACTAGGGATGCACTTCTTAGGCACATTCTAAATGTTGCAGTTAATATTAAGGAAAATCATGCAGCAATTAGGAAAGCAACAAGAGCTCTTAGTAAACGAAGCCGGAAATGTTTAGAAGTTAATAGCGATATTTTCGGACAATTACTAAAATAACGCTGATGACCAATATTTAATGTTAATGTATAAGATTTTGTTTAATTGTAGTTATGCAGTAAGTTATGCAATAAAAAAAAATAAAATAAAAGAAAATCGGATAACAACATATAAGTTTTTTACATTATTTTCAAGCGTACAATATACTCCGAAAGTTTGGTCCGTTCCTCCCGACTCACCCTGTATAAACACCACAAATATTACAAAATAAATCACTACTATATTTACACTTTCTTCGTGACGAACTCATGTTAACACATGACAACTTATCCAGATTCACGTGTAAGTACGTCAATATTGTCAAATAACTGAGATCTGAGCTGTTCTGTGGAGCAAGGGGTCTGAGAGTGATGTTTATATGCGCGAAAAAGTTGCGCAGAAGCTTAATCATTACTGGGAAAATAAATTTTATTACTAACAAGATAACCGATAATTGTTCAAAATATAAGATATGTAAAAATCATAAAAAAAACAAGAGCACATTCAGTACTTTCATGAATATATTCGTAATCTTTGCACTTGAAAACATAAAATTTAATGTATAATTTAAAGATATCCGGGCAACAAAAAAATATTTGTTGTAGAGCTGTGCAATAAGTCCAATCGTTTCTAAAATATATTCCAAATCAATTTATAGTGTGGTTTCATTGTGCGAATAAGTAATATACTAAACATCGAGAAGGCGACATCACAGACCCCCTCTGAGACTTTTTGCATACTACTTTGGCGCTTGTGCAAGGTCAAGGTCCAGTATTAAAAAAAAGACGGATTTTCAGGGTTTCTAGTTAACTCGTTTCCTATATTATTTAAAGAGAGGATCTGTCTTAAACTGTTATAAAAAGGAGGATTGGAGTTACATTCAATTGAAGATTTCCTTCGATTAAAGGCTCCTACATCATGGGAGAAAAGGAATCGTTGTTGGAATTGTCTGAACTAGTCTGTCAATGTGCATAACAAAAATAATTCTACGTATTAACTCACAATAACATTTTGTGTTTATTTTTTTAATTTTAACTACGATTATTAAAATTAGAATGACTAGAATAATCAACAACGTCATATTTTGGGCTACTTACTGGCGTCCATTCGGATTCTTTCTATCTGAGTTATTTCGCGTAGAACACCAACCACACATCTTTTGTAGGTCTACTTATATTTCCAGTTATCAGAATTAATTTCATAAAGTGACGTCGTTTATACTCTTTTATTTTCGGGGGAACATTTCTCCACTACGTAACATAGGCTAACTAACCTCAATGTTGTAATTGGATATTGACTCTTCATGCATTCTATATAAAGATCGTCTGGTGGCATAAACAATGGAACAGCACGTCATACATTGGAAAATATGGATGCTTATTTATTTTAGTCAATCACAGAAAAGGTATCCATCAACGAGGGCAAGAATAGACTGAGATGCGGGACCAGTTCAATACTATCATGAGGATGTCCAAATTTGTCGTTGTAGTCACATTCTACCTAATGATAAAGAGTTATATGTAGCAAATGTGTGGAAATTATTAAATCGAATCATTAAAACCAGCAGAAAATTCATTTTTTATCGAATATAAATGGTGAATTGACTTTCTTACGTTTAATAAAGAAAATAAAAGCGTTTCCGCTTTACTAGATATCAAAATGTTGATATACGCGATAGAAGATGAGTTTATGATACTTCCTTGTCGATTTTTTTGAGCAACCTCTGTTTAACTATACGAAATCTTACATTCTTTGTCGCTTACAGCTGCGATGCTGAGAAGGCAAGAAGCAACAATAAATTTGAAATTTTAATAAATTGTTATACATACCTAATTCAAAACATTACTTACTTTGTGAACATCGTTTTCTTTAATTATATGGTACATCTTTGATCTCCCGATCTAAGAAAAACCAAAAATACTTAAATTAGTTTATCAGAATCTTTCAAAATCCTTAAAATAAATCCAAAGGTTACTGAAATCAATTTAATCATAAGTTTAACAATTTTTTAATTTAATTTTATAACGTTTGTCTTCTTTTTAGAGTTAAAGCTGCGATACCTATAGGAAAGAAACCGGAAGAGAAGAAACAACAATAAAAAAATATATAAACGGTCGTGTTTTTAACTATTAAAAGTCAGTCGTCGTCATCACTAATAATTACAAAAAAAAGTACTACTGTAACTTTGAGAAAACAAAGAGCAAAAAACGTTTTGTAAATACTTTTGATTTTTATTTATCTTGTTTCTCTTTTAAAATGTTCTTAGAAAAACTTATCTGATTTTAATTCATTATTATTATTATCAATGCAAATATCACCATTATTACTACTATTTTATTACTATTATTATGTTTATTTTTAGTTAGTGCTAGTGGTATGAATATTTTTTCAATTCCCTCCGTTATGATTTTTTTCTTCTTTCTCTTCGTCTTTTCTTCCAACGAAAAAATAATATTTATAAAAAAGGTCGTTAATTAAAGATATTATTATAAGTAATGTTTTTTTTGTTTAATTACTTTTCAATTCTAACACACCTCATTTATTTTTTTAATTTAATTAAAAAATGTAATATATAAGCCTTTTCAAAAGTTAAAAACCTTTTAAAAATTTATAATAAGATTATAGAAAAGGTGTTTTTTTAACTTTTGTAGCACCCTGTAAATGTACTTTAAAAGGCGTTTTATAATCCGTACGTTAATGTGATGCTATAGTGAGGTGCACCGCTACAAAAAAAATCTTTAAAAAAATATCAAATTTTATTTACACATGTTGCTTGTTCGAATTTATCAAGTTTTTTTTTAGACTGATACGTGTATTATTTACGAAATAATATTAATAATAACAAAAGGATGTAAGTAAACCAATTGTAATCAAGAGATTTTTATTTAAATATTTTAATCGAACCTCGTGGCGTTAATAGAAACGCCGAAAAAAAATCGGGGGACGTAGAGTTTAACACCCGTACTAAAAGAATACGAAAATTAAAAATACTACTGTATTTATTCAATGTTGTATGTTAAAAAAATATATGACAACAGAGTAAAAAAATTGATTATCCATAAGACCAAAATCTTTAAAACGGTACGAACTAAAATTATATATCGCGGACGCGCTTGCGCCCTAAATAGTTAAATGTTTCTTAGATTTTATGAGCGTGCTTTTTGGTTGTGTTCTTTAAATTGGCATCGTTTCAATCAATTTTTCTTCATATTTTCTATTCAAATTTGTGTACGATCGAGAATAAATAAATAAATTAATAAAAATCATTAGTTTTGTCCTTTCGTTAAGTTAATAGTGAATTGTTACACGTTTTTATATAAGCCTATGTATTTGCTTTTGTGGAATTATATTAAAAATGATTTCAAAAGCTTAATAATTACTTGTTTTTTTTTAATTCTTAGTAATATTAAGGTCCAGTTGTACAATATACCGATAAACTTCCCGATAGCGTTATCTGGCTGATAAGTTAGTTTGTACTGTATTACAATGTACGGATATTTTTGTCGGTGAGATTATTGGCAGGATAACTTATCGGGTACTCAGTGGTGTCGATAGGACAGTTATTTGCCAGATATATGTCCGGCAAATAAGAAAAATTAAAATTCTACTGGCAGTGGAACTCGACCCGACAACTTCGCGGCACAATTTTGATCAGATCAACTACGCCATTAATCCGGATCAACGTTGCCGTCTGTCTATGTTTTTAGTTACTATGGATGTATTTAAGTGAGTAAATAGGCGAACAAGTACTATTTTTGATTCAGTGCCGCTCGTGTTTTTTAGTAAAATATTGTAGTGTTCAAAGTGCTTCAATTTTGTAGTGGACAAAAATTATATTTTATAAAATGAGTGATAATGAAATAGATTTTGGAAGTGACGGTTCATTAGCTGATCCCACTTTCGAGCCCAAATCTGGTTCGAGTAAACAAATTCGAATTAATGAAACAACGGAAACTACCAGGTGTGTACGTACTATCAGTGATAATGGGAGTACTGAAGAATTTCACCAAAAGCAACTTTCTGGCGTCAATGAAATTCTTTTTAATGGAGAATTTTTCAAAATAGTGGAGCAGGTATTTTTTAAGTTCAATACTTGCAATTCAAAATATACATACCGTATTTTCTCGAATCTTATCCGCACTCGAATCTAATCCGCACCTCGATTTTAAAAATGCAATGATGGTAAAAAAAGTTGGTTTTCCAATGTAATCCACATCCGATTGTAATCCGCATTTGATTTTAGAGCATACAAAATTTGTAAAAAGGGTGCGGATTAGATTCGAGAAAATACGGTATATTTTCATCACAATGTTTATTTAATCAAACGAGAGAGCTTCGACTCTATACCAAACGAAAATGGTAGGTATAATCGCTATTTGTCAAGTATGCCTTAAGAAACTTAAAGGTTCGCTACACGGAAGCTCTAACTTTATACACCACTTACGCGAAAAACATCCAAGCACATTTAATGATTCAAGAGAAAAGATCTGAAACCACAAAAAGCTTGCGTGCTAGATCTGCAACTGATGTTCTTTCTTTTATTTGCGAAACGTGCTCTCCATTCTCTATTATCGAGCATCCTAGTTTCTTAAAATTGCTCCCCGAAAGAAGGCTCCCCAGTAGATGTACAATAACCAGAATGCTTTCCGAGAGCCACACGGAGTTCAAACAAAAGTTGTCAGTAGATCTGGCCAAAATTGAATTTATATGTGCAACAGCTGATATTTGGAATGGAGGAAAAAGAGCGTTTTTTGGATACACATGCCACTGGCTGGAGGCAGATACCTTAGAAAGAAAATCTGCAGCCTTAGCATGCCGCAGGTTTAAAGGTATACATTCTTTTGATCGAATAACAGATATCATTCGCGAAATCAATGTCCAGTACAATATATCAGTCGGCAAAATACTATGTATAATATACCATAACCGACAATGGATCAAATTTCGTCAACGCATTTAGAGAATTTGGAGTTATTCTGAGCAACATCTTGTAAAATCTTGTAAAAAAGTTAAGCATTAATAAATTATTATTTTAGAGAAAAAAAGGTGAAAATGAGAGCGACAATGATGATAGCTCTGACGATGATAACCAGTTAGAATACTCCAGCCCTGAGTTTCACAATTATACGCCAATTTTGTCAAAGCATTTTCGATGTGCTAGCCATATGCTCAACCTTCTGGCCACTACCGATTTTATAAAAATATTAGATGGCTCAACAAATCAGGCAGTTCATAGCATTCATAAAGCTACTTTCAACAGGTAAGAAATAAAAATTCGAGCTTAAATTTATTAAGGGTGCTCATTTAAAGGCGCAAAACTCTCGAAAACTGGACAAACTGTGCAATTTTAAACCCTCGCAAATGAAATATTAAAATTTGTATGGAAAACTTTTGCACAAAAGGGCAACTTTGCGCGTCAATTTTGTCACACAAATTTGTGCAGTGTGCTGTGCAGCCCTCAATCAGCTATTTTGATAAGTACACTTATTATATGTGTATTAACTTTTTACATTTTACTTAACACAGGTATACAAAACTATGGAATAAATGTAATAGGCCAAAATCTGCGGAAATAATAAAAACAGTTTTATCTCCGTATCTGGTTATGCCTTGCGTTACAAGATGGAACTCACTGTATGATTCGGTTCAGAAGCTAATAGAAATCAAAACCAGATTAGGTGAACTATGCTACAAGCTGGAAATTTCTACTTTTAATGAGGAAAAAATTGAATATTTGGAAGAATATACAAGAGTAATGCAACCTATCGCAGAAGCTATCGACTTCCTTCAGAGAGAACAAAATATGTTCTTTGGCTATTTCACTCCCACTTTAGTGTCCATCAAAATAAAAATGCGACGTTTAGCTTCCGAAAACTTGAAATTTCTTACGGAAATTAATATTCAAATGCAATCAAAGTTACTTGAGAAATATTTTCGTTTGCACTCTGACTCCTGGGATGCAGTTATTGCATCCCAAAATTTTGCAAAGTCTTGTTGGAAAGTGCTGAGTCATACACACTAGATGATGTTCTAGATAAAGTTAAAGACTATGCGCTGCAGTTTAAAAGACAATCGGTAGGGGAAGAAAATAATTTACAGCCTTCCATAAGTGCTAATACATCATTTCTCGAATTTGAAGACGAGTCCACAGGTATTCGATTAAAACAAACCAACCGACGAAATTTTTGTAAATAACTTCTTTTTTTTAGATGAAAATCAATATATAGACTCCCATGGCAGAGCTATAGCAACCGAAGTAATTTTGTACTTGAATGACGATGATAGAAGCAGTGATGCTTTGCACCGGTTTCCTATTATAAAAAAAATGTTTTTAAAATACAACGCCTCTTCCTTCCTCTGCGCCAGTGGAAAAACTTTTTTCTTTTGCTGGAATTGTCAATCGATCGACAAGGCAAAATCTTGCCGACCGTAATTTTGAAATGTTGGTATTAAAAAAAGCAAATAAAAAATGAATTATGTTTTCCTACTTTTGGTACGGCATAAGTAGAAGTGTCTACTCAAAAATATGGTTTATTTTGAATAAATTTGTTTATACTGGTTCAGCTTTAATAGTCTTACTTTTATTCTTCAGTAGTGTTATGTTACTGACAATGAATAATAATGTTAATTATCACTAAAGGTTTTCACTATCACTAAATATTTAGTGGTAGTGCAATTTTTTTCACTATCATTAAAGAAAAAGAAAGAAAAAGGGCAGTTCAACACTATCAACACACTATCAAATTAGGTGATGAAGCAAAACAAAAGTAGATTATTGTTTATGGCTTGGGTACAAAATTTTGAAAAGCAGAACTTTTTTAAAAAACATAATATTTTCGGACGAAGCATGGTTCACCACTAATGGAGTGGTTACATCACCAAATTGTCGATTCTAGTCAAAGACTAATCCACATTATCGCATAGCTTGTAAACGCCAATAAATACTAGAAAATTGTTTATTTAATTATCTTCACGGCGTGGATTTAGAAAAACGCAATAAATTATATTTTCAACAATGTTGCGGCTCACATTCGACCATTTTAATTAGAAAGTTGTTAAATACGTTATTTGGAAAGAAATGGATTGGTAGATATGGCCCGTAACCATGGCCGCCAAGAAGTCCGGATTTATCTATTATGGATTTTTATTTTTGGGGTTATGTAAAACAAAAAGTGCACACTGACAATTTTAATAAGAGTTTAGACCGTTTAAAACAAAAAA